AAACGCCGCTGTCCCGGCCAAATTCTCCTATCTTTCATAATGATGAGACATCAAAATGATGAGACATCAAACTCCGTCCAGTTCCAGTTCATTCTACGAAAACCATCAACTATATTACAACTTAGATAAGTTGGACAGGAATCTCAATTAGTCTTGTCTGTCTGCTATATCAAGGGAAACGCTGCTGTCCCGGCCAAATTCTCCTATCTCTCATAATGATGAGACATCAAACTCCATCCAGTTCCAGTCCATTCTATGCAAACCATCAGCTATATATTACAACTTAGATTAGTCGGACAGGAATCTCAATTTGTCTTGTCTGTGAAACTGATAAGACGGACGTTTGATTGACAGGTACTATGTTCTATTGAATCGGGAGTTATCAGCGTTTATAATGATAAGAGACTTGTTTTATTTACCTTTCACTCGGCTTTCTTTATTTAGCTTTCCTTATATCTAAATAAATACTGATGAGTGTCAGACTGCATGACAGAATACATCTCACTAATTATGACAGAATTATCATCAAGGGGTCCAAGAAAAGAAGAGTCTATCTTTAGGTCAGATGGGGTAGGTCAGAAATTTCCACATGCTGTATTGAGCTCACACAAGGCTTAGGGATACCGTTATATTTCAGAATGCCTGGTCTATGATTTGTTCGAATGGAAATGACCCTCCCCAACAGGACTGAGCTTCGCCTCCCCCCATCCCTTCCGTGGAGCAGCCTTACCTCCCCTAGCCAACCTGATAATAGTCAATACCATCATCCTATATGAAACTATTATTTAAAGATACATTATGTAAGATTTAGATAAAGAGCTAGCCATTCTTGCTATAATAGTTCGAAAATAGATAATATAAAATGAATAATTTGAAAATTTTATTCAAATTACTCTATTGCGAGCGAAGACATTAGCATTTAACGGTTTGACAAGACTTGTGCAATAATTTCAACCACCGTACTGGTTGTTGAAGCTAAGTCTCACTCCTCCATTTTCAGCTTAAATCAAAATATGACTGAACTCTTCTAATCTATTTAATATTGGAGAAATCAGATGCCATCGAGTGTTGATTATGGTCTGGATAAGTTAATCAATGTCTAATTAATAGTTTATATAACATTTCAGGCCTAAAGAAAGACCTGCAATAGGCAGATTTAGCTCTTGTATAATGTATGTTTAAACATTTCAAATTAATTTTGAGGGAATTATAACAATACAATTGAATACAATTTTAACTAATTTTGTAAGAAATTTAAACATTTATTAAAATAAAACATCTGATCCATATAGAGGTCAATAAAAGGAAGGTTATTTTGAAACTAATATATAGTTAATTGTTTTTTGGGCCACTGTGTAATGCTGGGAGGAGAATTTTGCTCAACAGAGGTGTTTCTATAAACATCAATAATCATTTGGGTTGTTTATTTTTTTAACAGTGATCGCGAAATTAAACGCTTGTAAATTGGACACTCATTATCAAAATTAATCAGTCAGCTTTAAACTGGACACAAGTACAAATTAGATGATTTGGGGTGATTTTTATGAATTTTTAAACATAGATTTGATATTAAACAAATGTGAAAGAAATTAGTGCTAGAAACACAAGATTAAAATGATACCCAGGTTACAGTGAGTACATCTCTCTAATTATAACAGAACTGTGTTTTACAGACTCCAGTTAACCACCACCAGATACTTGTATCTATCTTTAATTAAAGTCATTAAAAAGCCATTGACTCAGATATTCTTAATGATACTACTACTTTATATTGGTTCTATATAACACATCAAGTCATGTTTGGTCTTTGAGTTTATATCCAGACCAAAACATGTACATTTATTGAGTTAAAGAGAGAAATGGGGTTTAACATCTACTCGACACAAATTAGGTAATTTCGGGACTAACATTTGGTTCAATTTTATTTCAATAAATCACATGCAAGTAAGGGTCTTTTAGCAGTGGGAGGAAACCGTATGACCTGAAGAAAACCCACGAGGTTGGACAGGCGAAACCACACCTATTGACTAAATGACAAATCTTATATGATATGCTGCACATGGGTTAAACCCTAAGAGAGAGAGAGAGAGAGAGAGAGAGAGAGACTCTAGGTCAACCCAAACTAGGTTGTTTCAGGAACAACATATCAATAATAGGGGGCTTTAGCAGTGGGAGGAAACCGGAGAAAACACACGAGGTTGGACAGGCAACCCTACTCCTTGTTACGTACAACCGGGGAATCGAAACCACAGACCTTATGATACAACGCACACACACTAACCATTTGGCCATCCAACTCCCTAAACCACTAAAACAACAGTGGCTCAGTGTTGCATCACCAACCAAGTCCTTGTTTGATGCCGGTACTGACAGTTTTCTTCAGATGGGGACAAAAAAAACGGAATTCCACTTGTGTGCTTGTTGATGTAAATTATTGACATTTGAAATTATTGAAATAAAATTAAACCATATGTTAGTTCCGAAATGACCTAGTTTGAGTCGAGTGAGCGTTAAACCCCATTTCTCTCTCTAATATGTGCACTTTTGATCATAAGATCTGGCATGAGTAAAGTGGTGTGGTTTTGATTCTAAGCTTGTACATGTGCATGATAAGGAGTAGGGTCACCTGTCCATCCTTGTGGATTTTCTACGGGTCCTGTGTTTCCTCCCCGTGCTAAAGACCCCAAATGAAATTATTGAAATAAAAGTGTTGGTCTCTCTCTCTCTCGCTCTCATTCTAATTTCTTGTAACAAACAATATTTTCTTTCATTTATATTTAATTAATTGTACACATGGAAGCAATTAAAATTATAATTTAATAGAATTCTACACAAAAATGACATAGAAATAATATTCTAAATTTCATAATCTCATTCCGATTCAAATGAAACAATCATAAAATATATGAGAACATGTATGCTATATTTTATTTCATTATTTTTATATCCCCATTTCGCTTTTGATATAACTGAATATAAATTAAAACCCAATCAAGCCCATGAATCCAACACATATTTACTTTAATCAGATTTCAAAATAATTTATTTTTCGATTAATTTACGTCTTAATGATGGACATATATAAAAATTTAAAAACTACAAAAATAAGAAATGTGCTTAATATTAATATTACTACATCTCTATATTATATTTTAATCATCATAAAATGTACGTCTGGTTATGTTAGAACTTTGAAGTAACGTTATTTAAACTTTGAAATCACTTAATATCGTTAATTCCATCCTTGACGAGCTTACAAACTCAATAATTGAGACGCACAGTCGAGTTAATCACAAAAAAATGTTTTATTAAGATTTTTACTTTGGGTGCTTAAGTATTCGAATTTGTGAAGTCTTTGATGACCAGAGTTCTTGTGTCCAGATGTGCTGCTTAATTGCCAAGCTCCATTAAATCTCCATCCAAGAGTTAAGTCGACTTTAACAGGTGAAACCGCCTGAAGTTATGTTTGCACTTGGTGGCATTTAATAAACGCTCAACTTGCCACTGGCAAAACATATCTTACTGAAAAGCCAAGCATCTTTAATTTGCATCCAACTGTGTTAGACAACTTGGTAACACGATACAGACATTCCCAGGTGTAAAAAATATCGCGTATACCATGGTTTTTGCTGGGGGTTATTATTTTTTATATTTTAATACAATTTACCTGCTCAACAGGCTCCATAACATGTGATTAAAGTTGAAAGTAGATAATTAATGTGTGAAAATAAGAGCATGTTTTCACTTATTCAATATGGTCTGTTTCTTTTAGATTTTAATAGGAGGAGGATTTCGTTTAATGTCTTAGGGGAGAAAAATTGACGAAAAAATGGGGTGAAGGGGCCAACTACATTATCATACATACAGGAAAGCTGCAGGGCAATAAAGTGACATGAAAAAAATGTATGTTTTCACTTATTCAAAATGGTCTAGTTTTCTTGAGATTTTAATAGGAGGATTTCGTTTAATGTCTGAGTCGAGAAAAAAATCGACGAGCTTTGGATCAAGGGGATGGGGTGGAAGGGGCAACTACATTATGAAGATAAATACAGGAAAACTGCAGGGCAAAACATAGACATGAAAAAATGTATAGATCATACATGTTTTCATTTATCCAATAACATTTGTTTTTTAGTAGATTTCAATAGGATGACTTGGAGGGAGGAGGATATGAAATGAAATGACATGAAATGGGTTTTGAAGTCCTACGCCAGACAGTGTGCTAAGAGGGAAATTTTGCCCAGGCAGTGGCACAATGGCCTACTCTTATATGAAATTCCAACTGCTTGGGGTTCTTTTACGTGCATACCAATGTATACATTGTCGCATTCAAATGACTAGACAGGTGTCCTTGTCAGGCCCTCCTTCCTGCACCACTGACAAGGGGAAACCATGTCGAAAAATCCTGATGAACTTTCTCGGCCAACACAGGACCTCCAGGCTAACGAGCCAACGTCTTACCCACTTAGTCACCGTGGCCCTCAGGGAGGTGAAGGGAGGAAATGTATTATGTTATACACACTGCAGGGCAAAACAGTGACATGAAAAAAATGCATGTTTACACTTCTTCAAAATGGTCCAGTTTTTTTTTAGATTTTAATAGGAGGATTTTGTTCAATGTCTTAGGAGAGAGAAAATGATGAACATTTGGTCAAGGGGATGGGCTGAGGTGGGCAACTGCATAATGATACACACAGGAAAACTGCAGGACAAAACATAGACATGATAAACAATGTGTCAAAATAAATTGTACAATTCATCACTTGTAAAATATGGCTGTCGGTTTCTAGATATTTAATTGACTTGTATCATGTGATAAATTGCTTGTGCTTGAATTTCAACACATGTGGCAGGTACCTTATTTTCAAGATCATGGTATGTAACAATGCGTACCAATATGAGCTGCCAGTCAACATGCCATTATTTTCAGCTTTCAAGGAAGGAGGTGGGGCAACAAAAAAAAAAAAATAAAGCAATCACAAAAATCAGAAAGCAATAAATTTTGTTTTGTTTTATTATTTTATTTTGATTGATAAATTAAGTTTGTTTTATTGTATACCTCTTTCATCCAACAGCTTCTGTTACTATGACAACAGTTCCTTGTACCATGACAACTGCTTCTGTTACCATGACAACAGCTTCTGGTACCATGAAACAAGTTCTTTACACTTTGACAACAGTTCATGGTTCCATGATAACAGGTCCCGACACAATGACAATAGTTCCAGGTACCATCACAACAGTTCCTGACACTATGACAACAGAGATGATGACTGTGATATTTGAAATGGTAAAGCTGATCGGACTTTAATCTGTTGTTTACCAGGATCAGTGCCATCATAGTGACCAGCTCCATCATCTGTAATAAACAGTATTAATATCATTTATACAGACATCAATAAACAGTATTAATATCATTTAGACATCAATACACTGTATTAATATCATTTTAATAGACATCAATACATTGTAATAAACAGTATTAATATCATTTATATAGACATCAACGCATTGTAATAAACAGTACTATCATTTCTATAGACAGCAATACATTGTAATATTACTATTACTATCAATATTTTTTTTAACAGTATTGATTCAATATATATTTACATACAATATAAATTATGATATAAGTGAGCTTTGTTTATTACCTTGTTGTATAACACCTGCTGATTCTATAGTATAGGTAAATGTTGTAAATGGTGCTACAGGTGATTTAGCTACCATCACCTGAAATAATAAAATATAACAACTTATACCACTTCTTGTTGGACAAGTCCATAAATTTATACCCCTTTTTGTAGGAGCTGCGAAGGCTAAGTGAGTAAGATGTTTGCTCGCTAAGTTAGAGTTCCTGTGTTCGATTCAGGTGGTCCCCCCCCTTTTCAGTGATACAGGAACGAGGACATATCAAGGGGCATGTATTGTTATTCGGATGGTACACAATGGGGTGCCCATAAAAGACCCTTGGCAGTTAAAATACGATGTCATGAGTTGGACATGTTGACATACCTTAAAAAAAACTTGTGTTTGTCAAGATTTTTTCCAATATGGTTTCAAAAGATCTGATATTAAATAATGTTTTACGGCCTACCTTATAGCACCAACAAGGTTAACGATACATTAGTTAACAGTTTAATAAAAAAAAGTTGGCCATTCTTGCTTTACTAATTCAAAAATAAATGATAAAAAAAGAAAATATTGAGATTTTTTGTTTTTTTGTAATATTTTGGACGCTATTGACCAAAAAATGCTCTTATCCGTGATTAGTAGAACCAAGTATTGTACAGGTATATGGTTGAATGACCTACCTGTCTTGTTACAGGTGTTAGATATTGTAGTAGCAGTCTGGTATTAACACTGTGACTCCACGTATTACCCAATGCAGCAGTTACATACCCACTCTCACCTTCCAAACCTGACGAACCTACAGATATACAAAATATACTCACTCTCACCTTCTAAACCTGACGAACCTACAGATATATAAAACACAAAGTTGTGAAATGAAATGGGGTTTAACGTCCTACTGTTCTGCTCCGAACTGGGCTAATGAAGATAGGCATACGCCATACAGTGTGCTATGAGGGAAATTTTGCCTGGACAGCGGCACTACGGCCTACTCTTATATCGAATTCCAACTGCCAAGGGATCTTTTACGTGCACGCCAATGTGTACACGGGACCTTGGTTTTTCGTATCATCCGAACGACTAGACAGCTTTGCTTGTTAGCCCCTCCGTCCTGCATCACTGACAAGGGAAGAACCACGCCAGAAAATCTGGATGAACTTTCTCGGCCTTGCTACAGGAAAACAAACAGTTGAACTTGACAATTTTTTTTTAAACAAAAACTTTATAATAAACACTTTTTACCAGGAATTTAATGGTTCTTTCGAACCAATATACACATTACAATGTTATTGCAAGTAATTACAATTTATTAACTTATTCATTTTGTATATCATTATTACATGTAGTAATTACAACCTACAAGCTTGTTCGTCCTCTATATAATGTTATATGACATGTAATTACAAGCTACAAGCTTTTTCATCCTATATTACATGTAGTAATTACAACCTACAAGCTTGTTCGTCCTCTATTACATGTAGTAATTACAACCTACTAGCTTTTTCATCCTATGTTACATGCAGTAATTACAACCTACTGGCTTGTTTGTCCTCTATATAATGTTACACTGTAGTGATTACAACTTATTAGTTTGTTCATTTTGTATATTATCATTTCATGACAAGTAATTAAAACTTACTAGTTTGTTCGTCCTCTATAAAATGTTACATACTATATAATGTTGCTAGTTTGGTCATATTGTATATTATCATTTCATGACAGGCAATTACTAATTACTAGTTTCTCCATCTTGAATATTATCATTTCATGACAAGTAATTACAAGTTACTAGCTTGGTCATCTTGTATATTATCATTTCATGACAAGTAATTACAACTTACTATCTTGTTCATCTTCTATATTATCATTTCATGACAAGTAATTACAACTTACTAGCTTGGTCATCTTGTATTTTATCATTTCATGACAAGTAATTACAACTTACTAGCTTGGTCATCTTCTATATTATCATTTCATGACAAGTAATTAAAACTTACTAGCTTGTTCATCTTGTATATTATCATTCCATGACAAGCAATTACAACTAACTAGTTTGGTCATCTTGTATATTATCATTTCATGACAAGTAATTACAACTTACTAGCTTGTTCATCTTGTATATTATCATTTCCAAATCTAGTAGTTATTTGATTGGTTACAACGATCTGAAAATATAATTTTATAAAAATATAATACAGAATATTTCACAAAATTCACAATTCGCAATAAAAAATAAAAAACATATGAAGTCAATTAATTCCTTGCAAATTAGAATATTGGGGAATTCCTTGCAAATTAGAATATTGGGGAATTCCTTGCCAATTAGAATATTGGAGAATTCCTTGCCAATTAGAATATTGGGGAATTACTTGCAAATTAGAATATTGGAGAATTCCTTGCCAATTAGAATATTGGAGAATTCCTTGCCAATTAGAATATTGGGGAATTCCTTGCAAATTAGAATATTGGAGAATTCCTTGCCAATTAGAATATTGGGGAATTCCTTGCAAATTAGAATATTGGAGAATTCCTTGCAAATTAGAATATTGGAGAATTCTTTGCAAATTAGAATATTGGAGAATTCCTTGCCAATTAGAATATTGGAGAATTCCTTGCCAATTAGAATATTGGGGAATTCCTTGCAAATTAGAATATTGGAGAATTCCTTGCAAATTAGAATATTGGAGAATTCCTGGCAAATTAGAATATTAGTTGTACTGTAGGGTCTCCTGTAGGGTCTCCTGTTCAACCTCGTGGGTTTTCTCTCCAGATCCTCCGGTTTCCTCCCACTGCTAAAGACCCCTATGCGTAAGCGAATTATTGAAATTAAAATTGAGCCATATGTTAGTCCTCAAATGACCTAGTTTGTGTGGAGTGGACGTTAAACCCCATTTTTCTCTCTCTCTCATAAAGCAATTCTTTGCTCTTCTCACAGGTTTTCATTACCACAGTTTTAAAATTCTTACCAACAAAAATTATCTCAGAGTACTCTGGTGACTTTATTTATCAAGGTTCCAAAGAGAGAGAGAGAGAGAGAGAGAGAGAGAGAAAGACGGAAAGAGTGAGAGAGAGAGAGAGAGAGAGAGAGAGAAAGAGTGAGAGAGAGAGAGAGAGAGAGATGGGTTTTAAAGTCCACCTACACAAACCAGCTCATTTTAATTTTATTAATTTGTTTGCTCATAGGGGTCTTCAGCAGTAGGAGGAAACTGTAAGACCAGAAGAAAACCCACAAGATTAGACAGGCAACCCTATTCCTTGTCACATACAGCCCGGGAATCGAAACCACACCAGACCCCCAAAGAGCTAACAATTAAATTGGTTTTGGCTGTTAGTAGAGAGTGGTGTTATATTGCCTGTTTGTACTTGTGATCTATTTAAGTAATGTTGCAGGTGCTCTCCACCACTTAATGAGATATATCATTATAAAATATTTAATTGATAAGAAGACCAGGTTTTATCACTTCTTTATTGTTAATTGATATAGTTCATCAGGGACATAAACTCAGACAAGAAAGTTATCAACCTTCATTAATTCAATGGCTTTTTTATACTTCTGTGGTAACTGGTAAAGATATAGTCTACTGCTTGCTCATGAGAAAGAGAGAGAGGGGGGGGGGGTGGGGGGTAACATTCACTCGACAAAAACTAAGGGAAGGGAGAGAGAGAGAAATGAGGTTTAAATCCACTCGACACAAACTAGGTTATTTCCGGACTAACATATGGTTTAATTTTATTTCAATAATTCGCTTGCTTGTAGGGTTCTTTAGCAGTGGAAGGACACAGAGAAAACCCACGAGGTTGGACAGGCGACCCTATCCTTGTCGCCTAAATCCGGGGAATCAAAACCATGCAAGTTGACTCAATGACAGACCTTATGATACAACGTGGACACGCTAACCATTCGGCCACCCAACCTTCCTCCCCCCCTTCAAGATAGATGAGAAAGTATGCATGTACACCAAGTAAAAATTAAGATTGTGGGAACTGGATGGATAAGTTTAAGGTCTATAAGATTATCAACAGCGAGGGCTGGCTTTCGGTTGACGATGGTTAAGATTGTGGGAACTAGGCTAGGAGGAGAACCATTAGACCAGTTAAAGGTCTGTAAGATTATCAACAGTGAGGGCAGGGTTTCCGTTGACGATGGTTAATATTGTGGGCATTGGGTAATATAAGTCAGGGAGATCAATAGATCATTTAGAGGTCTATAAGATTATCAACAGCGAGAGCAGGGTTCTGGTGAACTATTGTTAAGATTGTGGGAATTGTGAAGAGTATAATCAGTGAGGGACACCAATGTATGAGTTAAAGGTCTGTAAGATTATCAGCAGCATCAGGTGTAGAATGTATTTATTACGTTGTTAGTGACAGATATAGTCATCATGTTAAGTACAGTCTGATAAATTACTAGAGAATAATGACCAGCTCTATAACTACCAGACAATAATGACCGGTCATATAAATTACTGTGTTTTATCTCTTATCATTTCTAACATAACCTACAAATCTATTAACATATTTCTCTCAACATCTGGACACATCCTCAGAAATTAATTTAAATAAGTTTTCATTATTATTATGATTCTTACTTGTTATTCATGGTATTTAAACATTGATTCTCATACTTTTGTTCTATTTCAGTGCTTATCCAGTTTTTTCACAGTCTTATTATACATTTTACATATCTTGGTTTTCAGTACTTATCAAGTTTTACAGTCTGATAATATATTTCACATTTATGGATTTTCAGTTCATAGAATTAATATATTTACAGAGAGAGAGAGAGAAATGGGGTTTAACATCCACTTGACACAAACTAGGTCATTTCGGGACTAACATATGGTTTAATTTTATTTCAATAATTTGCTCGCACGTAGGGGTCTTTAGCTGTGGGAGGAAACCGGAGGACCCGGAGAAAACCTACGAAGTTGGACAGGCGAGCCTACTCCTTGTCACGTACAACCGGGGATTCGAAACCACGCCAGTTGACTCAATGACAGGCCTTATGATACAGCGCGCACGTGCTAACCATTCAGCCATTCAACCCCCCAATATATTTACAGCTCCCTTCGTCCAGGTTTACAGTCTAATAATAGATTTCATCTTTCATGGTTTTCAGTTTATTGAAGGTGAAGGACTGAGTTTTTAATCAACATATATAATGTCTCTCCTCCCTCACAACACTTGGTTGACATGCATTAACCCCCACCCCTTCCCAACACTATTTTCTTTATTGCAAATTCAGACGAATCCTGAGAACGACCCATGGAACGGACAAAAATCATGCCTGATAATATATTTATTGTGTCCCTTGCATCAGCGATTACTCTTATTCACTCATATCCCCCCATCCCAACCAATACATACACACTTCTCTGTAAATTAATGTTTATCTATAGCTCAGGTTAATTGGTTTCCCATTAATAGTGTGATAAATAACAGGATCTTCCCCCTTTTAACGGCTGTAAGTGTTTCCGTTGTGTAGGTTTAGCTGTAAATGGTCCCCTAATCAAATTAAGTTTTAATTGTATTTGATTGTTATTGATGTTGAATATTCTCTATACAGTATATTTGCCTACCTGTAGCCTACCTGTATCATTTGCTTGATAAAGACGAGAGTATCCTCGTTGAAACATCGCTTAATATTAAACTCAGTTATTGTGTATCCATAAAAATTGTACCTTGTGTTAATTAAACAGGCATTATGAAAGAGCTAAATCTGCCTATATTGCAGGTCTTTCTTTGGGCCTGAAATGTTATCATAACTATTAATTAGACATTAAACATGCATTATGCAAGAGCTAAATCTGCCTATAGCAGGTCATTCTTTAGGCCTGAAATGTTTTTTAAAGTATTAATTAGACATTAATTAACTTATCCAGGCCTTAATCAACTCTCGATGGCATCAGATTTCTCCAATATTAAATAGATTAGAATGGTTCAGCGATACTTTGATTTAATCAAATATGGAGGACCGAGACTTAGCTTCGATCAACCAGTACGGTGGTTGAAATTATTGCACACGTCTGTCAAACCTTCAAAGGCTAATATCTTCGCTTGCAATAGAGTAATTTGAATGAAATTTTCAAATTATTCATTTTCTATTATCTATTTTCGAACTATCGTAGCAAGAATGGCTAGCTCTTTATCTAAATCTTACATAATGTATCTTTAATTAAAATGAAAAGATATCTTGTGTTCTAATGCATGCACTTTAGATCATAAGCTTTGTCATAAGGTTTGTCATTGAGTCAAGTTGCATGGTTTTGATTCCAAGCTTGTACGTGACAAGGAATACGGACTCATGACCAACCTCAGCAGTTTTCTATAACTCCGTTCAGGCGCTTATTTTTAAACCAGTTCATAATCGCTGGGGTTTTTAAAACAGCATCGTGTTGCATTCACACGTACTATAAGCCAAACCAGTTTAACTATTCTGACCTCTTCGGTCGGAGGTTAGAGTTAACTATGCATGGGTAGCTTTATATTCTTTATTCGGTTCTCGCACGCTTTCGATAACATTGGCACTGTCTGACCCCAATATTTTCACAGGAATGTAACTTACTGTGTACTGCGCATGTTCAAAGCAAGCTCGAGCTGTGGTTTTTAAACCAACCCATTCAGACGGCTAAGATGAACCAGTTTAAAATAAAAAGCCTTCTCGAAGACAGGTCGCGAGCTGGGTTTTTTAAACTGGTTTATTTGCCCCACATGTGCGTTCAGACGCTTAAGTTAAACTGGTTTAACGATCCCCGGGGTTTTTAAACCAGTTCAACTTAAGCGTCTGAACGGGCTGAAGTGTCCTCTGGTTTCCTCCCAGTGTCAAGGACTCAGACCTGCAAGTGAATTATTTTCTAAATCTGTTTCATTTTAAAATTTCACCCACTAATTTCTTGTGACCTTTGACCCATGATCTTCATTCATCAAGTCAACAAGAAACCGGTCACGAATTGCGAATCAATATTTTTTTTGTACTTTGAAATTAAACAGAAACCTGACATGTGACTCAATAAAGTTATCAACAGGTGTCAATAGCCATCTTGTTACTGTATCTACCCACTTAGGCCAATATAATTAAATTTTTATTTCATGAGTGAGAGAGAGAGAGAGAGAGAGAGAGAGAGAGAGAGAGAGTGTTTAAACCAGGTCATTTCAGGACTAACATATGGCTCAATCTTATTTCAATAATTCGCTTGCGCGTAGAGATTCTTTAGCAGTGGGAGAAAACAAAAAAAAACTGAGAAAACCCACGAGGTTGAACAGGTGACCATACTCCTTGTCGCGTACAACCGGGGATTCGAAACCATGTCAGTTGACTCAATGACAGACCTTCTAATACAACATGCACATGCGCTAACCATTCGGCCATCAAATCCCCATCAGTGGGAGGAAACAGGAGGACAAAGGAAAAACCCATGAGGTTGAACAGGTGATCCCACTCCTTGTCACATACAAACGGGAAATCAAAACCACGCCAGTTGACTCAATGACCTATGTTATCCATTCGGCCAACCACCCAAATATGTGATCTCGAAGAATAGGTATTGAAATTGGTGAGGCCTTCCTATCTATACCGGTACTCGCTTTTATCTCACAATTAGAAATTAAAAAAACCTTGATGATGCTAACTACGCATAAATTTGATTAATTATCGCAAGATAAGATATGATCGTGTTCCACCCCCTTGATAGGTACACAAGACTAGATTGACCCAGACAGTCTAGTGGTTTGTTATATATAATTACAACATACGTATATCTGATTATCAAGACCGTTATCTTTTTGTCTGTGTACAGTTTGTCTTAAAGGGACAATAACACTCTTGCTGGGTTGACAGCTCCAGAAAATAAAAAAATAGCCTTATTCTAAGTATTAGATGTGTTAGTGTCTTACCTGTTGTGTAAATTATCCATTTAATTCTATTTTACTTATCCAGAGGGTTCAAAAATATTTTTAAATCCAAGTTACATTTGAAAAGCTTTACGTCAGGCTTTTCAAATCATTTAGTTAATTTTTGCATTTTTTTAAATTAGGTGTGTTAAGATGAAATTTGTATCATCAATTAATTGGAATATTGTAAAATAGTACAATTTGTTGACCAAAATAAAGATTGGGACATTGTATTCAGTTACAACAAGAGTGGTATTGAGCCTTTAAATTGATGTTATTCGTGATAACTGGTACATCGGGTGATTGTATTTGTGTTAATATCTTTTACCGGTTAAATTCCTATTGACCGTATTTATTTTTATTGATTAAATATTAACTGATACTGATAGAAGTAAACAAATTGAAAAGAAAACCAGCCCACTGAGTCATGATCATCCCCAGTGCCAGAGAGAGAGAGAGAGAGAGAGAGAGAGAGAGTCTCATTTCAGGACTAATACTTTTATTTCAATAATTTCAATTGGGGTCTTTAGGACGGGGAGGAAACACAGGACCCGGAGAAAATCCACGAGGATGGACAGGTAGCCTAACCCTACTCCTGATCATGCACACGTACAAGCTTTGAATCGAAACCACGCCACTTTACCCAATGCCAGATCTTGGGATCAAAAGTGCACATATTAGACCAATTGACCACCCAAGAGGAGAAATGAAATGAAATAGGGTTTAACGTCCTACTGTTCTGCTCCGAACTGGGCTAATGAAGACGGGCATATGCCATACAGTGTGCTATGAGGGACATTTTGCCTACTCTTATATAGAATTCCAACTGTCAAGGGATCTTTTACGTGCACGCCAATGTGTACACGGGACCTCGTTTTTTTTTTGTCCCATCCGAACGACTAGACATTCCTGACCCAAGAGGAGTAAAAATGCTTTTGGTAAACTATTTGTCAATGAATATACTAATTATCAACGATACATATCCAGTGATATCAGTGTTTAGATCTGCAACTTATAATAATAGTATACAGAAAGGGGGTGGGGCGCAACATATTATTGACAGATGTCAATCAACCTATAAACATTTGACAGATGACATCATCAGTTCTCTAAATCTGATATCTACAAAATGGGTTTTTACTTTCAAATTTTCTGTATTAACTATAGAAAATGGACATACACCATGCAATATGCTGTGAGAACAATTTTGCCTAGACAGAGGCACTACAGCTTACTTTTATCTTATTCAAAATTAGGGGGGTTGGATGGCTGAATGGTTAGCGTGCGCGCGCTGTATCATAAAGTCTGTCATTGAGTCGACTGGCGCAGTTTCGAATCCCCGGTTGTACGTGACAAGGAGTAGGGTCGCCTGTCCAACCTCGTGGGTTTTCTCTGGGTCCTCCGGTTTCCTCCCACTGCTAAAGACCCCTATGCGCAAGCGAATTATTGAAATAAAATTAAACCATATGTTAGTCCCGAAATGACCTAGTTTGTGTCGAGTGGACGTTAAACCCCATTTCTCTCTCTCTCTCTCTCTTATTCAAAATTCCAATTGTCAAAGGTTCTTTTATGTGCAGGTCAATGTGTATGCCGGTCATAAGTTTTTTTGCACGCCATCTGCAGGACTAGACACTGTTTCTAGACATTCCCTCCTTATAGCACCAATGACAGGGAAACCACAGGAATATATTGAAGAACTTTCTTGACCTTCTGGTTTTACGAGCCAGCATTTTTATTCACTGAGCCATCGCAGATCCCTTGTAGTGAATACAGGGGTTGGATGATCGAATAGATAGCATGTGTGCGTTGTATCATAAGGTCTGTCATTGAGTTAACTGGCGTGGGTTTCGATTCCCCGGTTGTACATGACAAGGAGTAGGGTCGCCTATCAAACCTCGTGAGTTTTCTCCGGGTCCTACAGTTTCCTGCCACTGCCAATGTCCCCTACGTGCAAGCTGCTTCTGATTGGCGTTCTGGATCTGGGGGAGAATGGCCGAATTGTTAGCGCATGCGTGTTGTATCATAAGGTCTGTCATTGAGTAAACTGCTGTGGTTTTCGATTCCCCTGTTGTGTACGTGGCACTGCTAAAGACCCCTGTGTGCATGCAAATTATCTGCTTCTGATCTACAATCTGGATCTTGTTGCCGTGATACAAGAACATAGTTTATACTTACAGGTATTGAGAAGACTTCTGCGAGATATTTCAAGATGGCTGCCTCCTGTACGAGTAAATTGGTTCTATCCGTCAGGTTTCTACCTAAGGTGGTGCTGAATTCTTTCCTTACCAATGAAGCGATGGAGTCGATGACAATCAGTTTGATTTTCTTGGATATAATATCTTCTTCTAGATTCTTTAATCTGGAAATAAAACATTAGAATCATTTGGCAAAAAGAAATGTTTACTTACGGGAGCTCATGCGAGGGATAGAGAGATAAATGGGGTTTAATGTCCACTCGATACAAACTAGGTCATTATGGAACTAACATACGGTCAGTTCAATTTTATTTCAATAATTCGCTTGCGTGTAGAGGTCTTTAGCAGTGGGAGGACCCAGAAAAAAACCACGATGTTGGACAGGCGACTTTACTCCTTGAAATGTACAACCGGGGAATCGAAACAAATGACATACCTTATGATACAATGAGCACGCGCTAACCATTCGACCATCAGAGAGCTCAAGCACATCCCAACACAAAATAAAATGGGTTTTAATGTTCTACTTTTATTTTCCACCCCAGACAAATGACATGCCATGTGCTTTGAGGGAAATTTGCTTGAACAATGACACTATGACCTACTCTTATTCAGCACACCAAAGCGAGCACGCAGAGACTAGACTCCTTTCCTTGCCACACCCTCAAGTCCTGCATTACTGACAATAGAACTCATGACCTTCAGGTAAGTGAGCAAGCCCCTTACTCACTAAGCCAAGATGGCTTTCACATCCCCAACACGACTATGGCAGCTTCAAAAGGGGAAACCAAAGGACTGGGCTACAACATTAACAACTTGGCTTCGTGAGCATGTTTATTCAACGGAGACTTGATACAGATGGTCATCATAACGGTATTACAACAGGATAAAGAATGATGGGTCAGGATGTTTTGTAACAAAGAGTTATATGATTATTCATCAATATGTACCAGTTTGTAACAAGTAAAGACCAATGTGTACCAGTTTGTAACTAATAAAGACCCATGTGTACAAGTTCATAACATGTAAAGACCAATGTGTACCAGTTTGTAACAAGTAAAGACCAATGTGTACCAGTTCATAACTTGTAAAGACCAATGTGTACCAGTTTGTAACTAGTAAAGACCTATTATGTACCAGTTCATCACTGTGTACCAGTTTGTAACTAGTAAAGATCAATGTGTAACAACTTGTAACTAGTAAAAAATAGTACAAAATCTTGGTCGAGTCACTGAGTACACTATTCTCATATTTTAACATACATGTAGATATATATAAATTATATAAATTAAAACTTTAAAAGATGAAATAAGATAAATAATAATAAATAATACAGAGATAATATTTACTGGGGTATAACGCTGTTAAAAGCTGATGAAACTTAATGGGAGTTTTAATCTTGATTTAAATATAGATAAATGGACAGTATCACTTTGTTTTAAAAGAAATAAAATGGGGTTTAACGTCTTACTGTTCTGCTCCAAACTGGGCTAATGAAGACAGACTTTGTTTTAAAAGAGTAAGAGCTAATTCCATAAAAAAGAATGTTTACTAAATGAACTTGAGTCGTTATTTTGGTTGACAGAGCTGTAACTCATCTGATGATACAAGGTTGCATTAAATGATCTCCAATCGTAACCAAGTTAAGCACCAGAAACAAATAGCTACGAAAACAGATGGATGTAAGGATGGAAAAGCAGATGATGGAAGGGGAGAGAGAGAGAGAGAGAGAGAAATGGGGCTTAATGTCCACTGGACACAAATTAGGTCATTTCGGGACTAACATATGGTTCAATTTAATTTCAATAATTTGCTGGCGCGTAGGGGTCTTTAGCAGTGGGAGGAAACTGGAGGACCCGGAAAAAACCCACGAGGAGGAAACCAGGCGACCCTACACCTTGTCACGTAGAACCAGGGATTTGAAACCACGCCAGTTGACTCATTGACAGACCTTATGATACCACGCGCACACGCTGACCATCTGTTACCCCAAAATGACCTGGTTTGTGTCGAGTGAAGGTTAAGCGCTCTCTCTCTCTCATCAGTGCAATGGATGTTTACGGCTAGTACCCAGATTCATTTACTTGATCTGATCTGATATGTGCGTTTGTTGTTTGTGGTGTCTGCATATTGTGTGTCCTGTCCGTAGGTTTGTCTTGTATAATTGTTTGTGTGTGGTGCAGTCTTCCTGCAGTTACTATTAACTATCTAATCAGAGCATTTTATTTCAATTGATGGCACTGCCACTTTAAACATCTATTAAACAGTTTGTTGAATGTTAAGTTTGTTTAAAGATACATTATGGGAGATTCGATAACGAGTTGGCAGTTGTCACTATAATAGTTAAACACTAGATAATGTAAAGGCAATTTGTTGAAAATTTCATTCAAATTGATACACTATAAACCGAGAACTAAGCGATTGAAATTTCGGCCTAGCCTCTATCATCATTACTAAAGTCAGTATGATAAACAGCATACAGTAGTTTTGATTATCCATTTAATCATTAAATCGTGAAGGAAAGTTATGCAGTAAATCGACTCATAATCCACTAAAGATCCCAGGCTAGAAGCGATGCCATCTAGAGTTGATTATGGTCTGGATAAGTTAATTAATGTCTAATTAATAACTTAGATAAGATTTCAGGCCTAAAGAAAGACCTGCAATAGACAGATTTAGCTCTTGCATAATGTATGTTTAATTCATTGATATTTTCAAAACATTCTGTAATAATTACGTATTATTTCAATTGAAGGCACTGCCACTTTAACCGTCTATTCAGCAGTTTACATTAACGTTAAGTTTGTTTAATTCATTACAACTCATTTCTAGTTGATATTTTCAAAACATTCTGTAATAATTACGTAATAATCTGGTCGACGACTGGTTATACCATACACGGATCAAAAGGTTTATTATTAAATGTCCCACGAGATCTCTACGCTTTCATTATATATAGAGAACCAAAATTTCTTCCAGCTTGCAAACAGCTAAATCATTTTCACATCATATACATAAAAAGTCGCTCTGATTTTTAATTTGATATAAGCCATTAGAACAAGAATCCTCTCAAGATCTCGGCCTAGATAAGGAAAAGAAAAGTCGCTTTATTAAATCTTAACATATGTAACGTTAATGTGTTTTGCCGTTATCTCGAGAGTGCGATTTGGTATTTAACTTAACTTTCCCACCAGTAGGTAAAATGAATAATACACAAGTCCCGTGGGACGTCCTCATTTACATCGTCTAGATATTATAAATCATTAAAAAAAAAGTACTTTGAAACCACCCCTAATTAACCATAATTATTTTTTGCGTAATAAAATTAACAGACATCAGGAATCTCTTATGTTTTTTTACAATCTGGGTATTTAAAAAAAAGGTGATCATAGTTTGCTGGAATTTTAAATCTTTATCAAATCAATATATTGTGAAAGTTGAATCTTTAATAGGAATATCAGTCCAAAAATGGTTCCAATCCGTCCTGAGAAATTACAGCATCGGGACATTTTATGGACAGTATCTAATTTGGTGGGGATCACGGTGGCTAAGTGGGTAAGACGCTGACTCGCTAGCCTGGAGTTCGAGTGTTCGATCACTGCATTGGCCGAGTAAGTTCATTCAGATTTTCCGGCGTGGTTTCCTCTTGTCAGTGATGCAGGATGGAGGGCCTGACAAGGACAGCTGTCTAGTCGTTCGGATGGTACGAAAAACCAAGGGCCCATGTACACATTGGCGTGCACGTAAAAGATCTCTTGGCAGTTGGAATTCGATATAAGAGTAGGCCGTAGCGCCACTGCCCGGTCAAAATTTTCCCTCATAATTTGGCAGGGTTTAATTCACACTGAAATGTACTCAAATTAATTATGTAATAAAAGACAACAAAATCATGGTAGATAGAGACACTAGGTCATTTTGGGACTAACATATGGTCCAATTCTATTTCAATAATTCACTTGTGTGTAGGTCTCTTTAACAGTGGGATGAAACCAGAGGACCCAGAGAGGTTGACATGCGACCCAACTCCTTGTCACGTACAACCAGGGGAATCGAAACCAGTTGACTCGGCTATGCCCACCCCTCCCAATCACCCCACCTGGACCCTCCCTGATTAAATAGAGGCTCATCAAAAGATTTAACACAACACTTATTCATTTATCCTGTTGTTTTCTTGGTAAATATTGACCTGGTTACGAATCGTATCGTAGCACCTGAATCGCAATATGTATCGTATCATATCGTGACTGCAGTGACAATACCTAGCACTATTATATCGATTGCACTTTTAAAATGTTCACAAGTTTTCAATTCATAATGTTTATAAAAACTGAACGGCACAGAAAAATTCTTGGACTGATAGTCAACTCTCACAATATGAAACAGAGAGAGAGAGAAATGGGGTTTAACGTCCACTCGACACAAACTAGGTCATTTCGGGACTAACATATGGTTAGGGGTAGGGGTCTTTAGCAGTGGGAGGAAACCGGAGGACCCGGAGAAAACCCACGAGGTTGGACAGAGGTTGTCACGTACAACCAGGGATTCGAAACCACGCCAGTTGACTCAATGACAGGCTTTATGATACAGGGTGCACATGCTAACTATTCGGCCATCCACCGATAAAGTTTCATCACAAACAGAAGAATTTCCATAAAGCCAGTGATCTCCCTTTAACTTAAGTATTTTACTCTGTTTATCAACACATTGAAAAGTAATTAGGTAAAATTTTTTCAGACATAATAAAAATCTTGCCAATAGACAGTGATAAAATGTATAAATTTATACTTTATGCTGTAGTTAGATAATGTATTAGACTATGTAAAAATCATGTTTTTGGTGTAAATTCCTTGGAATTTTTTTCTAATTAGTCTGATGTTTTCTATAAATAAGAGACAACCACTTCATAAACAATAAATCAACTAAAAAATGCAATTTACAACTTTCATAATATTTTTATTTTACTTTGAAAACAAATCCACCATATATATAACAAGATTAAAGTGGCAGTATGTCTATATTTATAGTTGTCAGGCTTTAATTGTGAAAATATTTCTGTTAAAGGTAAGATTAGATAAAGAGATGTGTACTCCTATAACAGACGGAGGTTATAATTATCAATACACACATCTTGTCAAGAGAGAGAGAGAGAGAGAGAGAGAGAGGTTTAACGTCCACTCGACACAAACTAGGTCATTTCGGGACTAACATATGGTTCAATTTTATTTCAATAACGCACTTGCGTGTAGGGGTCTTTAGCAGTGGAAGGAAACCAGAGGTCCTGGAGAAAATAAAGTAATTTGAATGAAATTTTCAATATATTCAATTTGCATTACATGTATCTATTTTTGAAATATCATCTTTTTTTTTATCATCTATTTTTGAATTATTATAGCATGACATGAAATGAAATGGGGTTTAACATCCTACTGTTCTGCTCTGAATTGGGCTAATGAAGACGGACATACGCCATACAGTGTGCTATGGAGGAAATTTTTCCCGGACAGTGGCACTACAGCCTACTCTTTTATCGAATTCCAACTGCCAAGGGATCTTTTACGTGCAGGCCAATGTGTACACTGGACCTCGGTTTTTCGTACCGTCTGAACGACTAGACAGCTGTCCTTGTCAGGCCCTCAGTCCTGCATCAATGACAAGTAGGAAGCACACCGGAAAAGAATTATAATAGCAAGAATGACCAACTCTTTATTAAACTCTTAACTATTATATCTTTCAAAGGACATTAAAGAGAGAGAGAGAAATGGGGTTTAACGTCCACTCGACACAAACTAGGTCATTTTGGGACTAACATATGGTTTAATTTCATTTCAAAAATTCGCTTGCGCATAGGGGTCTTTAGCAGTGGGAGGAAACCGGAGGACCCGGAGAAAACCCACGAGGTTGGACAGGCGACCCTACTCCTTGCCACGTACAACCAGGGATTCGAAACCACGCCAGTTGACTCAATGACAGGCTTTATGATACAGAGCGCGCACGCTAACCATTCAGCCATCCACCCCCCCACCACCTCAAAGGACATTAAAGAGTAAGAAGAATTATTTGGCACAAATTATACAAAATTCCTTAATTCATCTCACACTTCAATTACAAGAATTTAACTCATAATTCAGTCGTAAGTACGGAAGATTTATTCGATAAATTATAAAAGTTTTACCTTTCTAACAAATGCTTACAGGTCTGAATAACATTCACGTGAACTCGGTCTGTTAATTTGGACATATTCGTGGATTTATTATGAAAATAATCTGGAAATTTATTGGTGGCCATCTCAACAAGTCTGGAACAAATAGATAATAAAAATATAAAGAACTAAATAAAATCAGAAATGTATCAGAAGTCAGTTTAAAGTAGCTAAGTCTCTAACTCAATATCATCCAAAAGCTCTAACTCAATTTCATCCAAAATCTTCAACATTGAAAACACGATTTATTTGTCAATTTAAATCAACATGGATGTTGTGATCTTACCGGAAAAAGATGGGCTTTTAATATCCAATATTTAAGACAAAATAAACATTTTACCATTGGTACACGAATCGTGTACCATAATGCGCTTCAGCCCCAGTTGTATCAAGAGACTCGAGTGACGAGGCTAGACACATTGCACCAAATCAAACGGCGTATGTAGACTGGAATAACCAGACGGTAGAAATTTGCACTTGCTGGCTTATTTCGCCGAACATAACTGATTTGAAATTGGAGTAAAAACGGAAACCATTGAATGTAAATCAGTTTATATACATTCATATTACAGTATTATATGCGTTGCGACCCACTTTTGTCAGTTTCTAGGTCCCAAATGTTAGCGATTTAGCTCCTTTAACTGTAATTCGGATATCATTTAATCTTGTGTATTTAGCACTAATTTCTTTCACATTCATTCAATATCAAATCTTTGTTTAAAAAATCACCAAAAAACATTTAATTTGAACTCATGTCCAGTTTAAAGCTGACTGTTTAATTTTGACAAAGAGTGTCCAATTTACAAGTATTTAATTTCCTGACCACTGTTCAAAAATCAATAATCTATTGTTTATTCTTTAACAGTGACTGGTAAATTAAACGCTTGTAAATTAGATGATTTGAAACGATTTTTACAAATTTTCATATGAAGATTTGATATTGAATGAATGTGAAAGATTAACAAGCGGTTACCATCCAGGATGTGCCCACATTGTGCAAGAGATGAATATAGAACAAGCTAAATAAAGAAGCGATTTTTCATACAATCAGGGGCCATAATCCACAAAGTTTACAGGGGTCCACAACCTTGGTATTACCATATTTTACGGGATATATGTCGATGTGGAGTATAAGTCGAATTGTCATATTTTACTGTTTTTCCGACCTCCGTTTCCGACATAAAGAGAGAGAGAGAGAAATGGGGTTTAACGTCCACTCGACACAAACTAGGTCATTTCGGGACAAATACATGGTTTAATTTTATTTCAATAATTCACTTGCGTGTAGGGGTCTTTAGCAGTGGGAGGAAACCGGAGGACCACGAGATTGGACAGGCGATCCTACTCCTTGTCACGTACAATCGGGAAATCGAAACCCCGCCAGTTGACTCAATGACAGACCGTATGATACAGCGTGCACACATGCTAACCATTTGGCCATCCACCCCCTTTAGAGGGTCCACAACCTTGGTATTACATACTTTTACACTATTTGCGTACAAGGAGCGATCATTTTGTCGGGCATTTACAGCGAACAATGGAATCGAAAACCTCCTGGTTAGCCAGCCAGCACCTCATGCCTCCCAGGAACCGAGTTCAAAGGTTGCGCTTACCTTTCAGCGCTGAATGCCCCTTCTGTATCAATATACAAGACAGCACCATCCAACCCACCATGTGATGTTGGCATGGTAACCAGCAGACTCAACATGATAGAGAACTGTGTTTTACCACATCCCGAAGGACCTGCAATCTGAAATATAAAATGACTATTTGGAACCAAAACATAAAATTCTGGGAAATATTTTTTATTGCAAATTCAGACAGGTCACAAGAACCACTTTTGCGGGTCAATATTAGGAGAAATACTTTTAAAAAACTGAAAAAAAAATCATGTCTGTTTACTTAAACATACATTATGCAAGAGCTAAATCTCGATACCATTACTAGCCTGCGATATTTACTGGATTTCAATACATTTTATTATTATTACTAATAAAACTTGTGATGCCCTGGGAGAATCATAATTCAACCCACAATCTAGCGCCAAATATTCTGGCCGTTAAAAGGCTGATATCTTTAAGAATTACCCATGAGAAAGAAATGGGGTTTTGTGTCCACATGAAACAAACTAGGTCAATTCAGGACTAACATTTCTATTTCAATAATTCCCTTGTGCATAAGGGTCTTTAGCTTTGTGATGGGGAATCGAACCCACACCACTTGACTCAATGACAGACCTTATGATCTAAAGTGTATGCGTTAAACCACATTATTCAATGACAGAACTTATGACTCCTTCGGCCCCCTCATACCCCAGGAAATTTAGACTTATATTAATAATAAACCAACTTACTTCACTAACCGTACCAACCGGTAGACCGCCATGTAAAACGACATCGAGATCTTTTAATGATGTCGCAAAAAATCCATGATTAGACTCACAACGTTTCTTCCATAAATCATAGGCCTGTAATTATTTAAAGGGAAAATTATAAAATGAAATTGAATGAGGTTTAGTGTTTTCTACTCTGACTGGGCTAAGGTGTGCTAGGAGGAAAATATTGCCCAGACAGCAGGGCCAAGACCAACTGTCAAGGGTTCTTTTACGTGCGCACCAATGTGTACATGGGATCTGGGTTTTCCATTCCATTCAATTAAAACAACTAGACATTGTCCCACTCACAAGGCGTAACCACGCCAGGAAATTCTGGAGAGCTTTCTCAACCAATACCAAGCCCGAACCCCAGACCTTCTCACTGAGCCACCGCTGCTCCCATAAGAAACGTGGAGATACTATATAGACATAAATAGAAAAGGGATAGATAGAGAAATGGTGTTTAACATCCACTCCAAACAAACTATGTAATTTCGGGACTAACATGGTTCAATTTATTTTTTTATTAATTCACTGCAGGATTCTTTAGCAGTGAACAGAAACTGGAAGACCTGGAGAAAACCCCTGTGGTTGAACACTCGACCACACTCCCTGTTACATACAATCTGGAAATGAAAACCATGCCACCTGACTCAATGACAGACCATTCGGACACCCAACCCTCGATCATAATGATAATCACTTATGTCAAAAGGTAATTGTTTTACTTTATAAAAAAAGCCAAGATTGCATCTGGAAACCTCCTTCTTATTGAGCAAACACCTTACTCGCTGCGCCACCATAGTTCCCAAGCTGAGAGAGAGCAATGGGGTTTAACGTCCACTCGACACAAACTAGGTCATTTCGGAACTAACATATGGTTTAATTTTATTTCAATAATTCGCTTGCGCATAGGGGTCTTTAGCAGTGGGAGGAAACCGGAAGACTCGGAGAAAACCCACAAGGTTGGACAGGCGAACCTACTCCTTGTGATATACAACTGGGGATTCTAAACCACGCCGGTTGACTCAATGATAGACCTTATGATTACAGCGGACACGTGCTAACCATTCGGCCATCCAACCCCCCAGTTCCCAAGCTACTTACAGTAATAGGCCTAGGTGAACAAGACTGGCTGCATTTTTTAAAAACATCATCAGCTGTAGTAGGACCAGACGACAATATCTTTATCACTTCTAGTTGACTACAAGACAATAAATCCTACAAAATACAATAAATTACATCCAGCTTTAATTTACAAAAATAAAATCATTCAATTATTCAGGAACCGGCCGTCATGGAAACGTGACATCATATTAAAAATCGAAGGCTGCCAATCAAGAACAAGCATGCCAAGTTTCATGTACCGGTACTTGAATTGTCAGAGCCTTACACCTTTTATAAGAACTTAGAACTTTGCCAGAAGAAGAAGAAGAGTGAGAGAGAGAGATGGGGTTTAACGTCCACTCGACACAAACTAGGCCATATCGGGACAAACACATGGTTCTATTTTATTTCAATAATTCGTATATGCGTAGGGGTCTTTAACATTGCGAGGAAACCTGAGGACCCGGAGAACCAATGAGGTTGGACAGGCAACCCTACTCTTTGTCCAACAAGGAGAAGATTACAGCACACTGTATGGCGTATGCCTGTTTTCATTAGCCCAATTCGGAGCAGAACAGTAGGACGTTAAACCCCATTTCATTTCATTTCATTCATGCATTCTTTGATATTCTGAATATGAGCTGTACGGTTTCGTAGACTATAAAAGCTAGCGAAAGAAAAACGATCATTCACGTACTTTACACGTCAATATATTGTGTCTTATCAGTTTCTCTAAGATGTTTGATGACAGTCCTGTTCGTTTTAACTTTCGGCACGACATGACTACATAACTTTAGAAACATACTGACTATTTTAAATACAAGAACACCACTTTCACTTTCAAGAAACTTTTCACTCCCGCCATATTGACAAGGGCGGATAACTCTATCAAATATTTCCCAAGAAATAACTTTTTTTTAACTTGTCAATTTCTATAAGTCCTAAAGTAAGACTGCATTGAACCATATTTCTTTCATAGACGCTATTCCTTTCGGTTTTATGTGTTTTAGATTTTGGTCTATTTTTAGAGTGGTATTTTATCAATATCGGCTCCAACAAGAGAAGTCTAACGATTAACGAATCTGGGAACCGAGAATGGTAGCCTATTTTATTAAGACCATGCGACCCGTTTTATCAAAATTTAAACAAACCATAATCAAAAGAAAAACAACCAGAGAATACAATATTGTGGATACAGATACAGATAACAAATTTATAAATTTACCTGATAGAAAACGGAATAACGCGCACAGTCGATGGGAGGTAACTCCATTAAAGCTCCAAAGGACTCAAACAAGTAATTTTGTCCGTTTCAAGTTTCCCGGTTTCGGAGCAGAACAGTAGATTGTTAAACCCCATTTCACTAATGGAATGGAATTTACATTATATTATAGTTTTGTCATCTACAAACTTATTGGATGTTACAAACATTTTTTATTTTATCAAATACAATGTTGGGGTTGGTTGGGGTTTTAACAAGACCCTGCATGTCCAGGTTTATGGCTCACTGGTGTCAAGGTGATGCCCTGTAAACAGAATATCGGTTTTCGTACCATCCAAACGACTACACAATAGTCCCTTCTTTTCCAGATGAAAATCCCCCCCCCCTTCCCCCAGCCCCTTTGTCTATGGTGCTGCATACCCCGCAAAGATATGATCCTTATTCGCGGAAACTTCGTATGAACATAGATATCACATTTTAGTAGATTAGCCAGTCACCATTGCTGTGTAGCCTATTCCTAATGAAAACGGGTTTAACGTCCTACTTTTCTATGGCGACTGCGCTAATGACGACGGGCATACGCCATGCAATGAGCTGCTCTTTATTTTGAATTCCAACTGTCAAGGCCTCTTTTGTGTGGTCGGCAATGTGTACACACCCCATTCGAGTATTCCCAATGACCACGTAATAATAACAACATATATTTTACTTTTGAATATTATATATTCTAGTCGGGCAAATTTACATGCACAAATAATATATTTACATCGATTCATAATTAATATATTTACATCGTTTCATAATTAGATAATTAATTATAAATAAGCACAATAAATAAAAGGAGTCGAGTTGCACCAAGAACGCCATTTTGTTTTACATTTCTAGAAATAAGTTACTATTAATACATGCAAGGGAAACCAAACTTCTGCATCGGGGAGTTGAAGGCTGCGTTCCCAGAGTGTTGGTAGGGGTAATAAGCACCGGGCATCATAGGGTTAGCTTGTGGCATAGCTGTTGGTGGCATGAATCCATATGGTGACATCATAGAAGGCATGTAAACTGAAGGTACAGCAGCAGCTAATGGGTGTTTGGTATCCTGGACTCGTCGCCTCCATCGAGCACGTTTGTTCTGGAACCAAACCTGAAATTACAAATATCCAGACGTTATTAAAAATATGGAATTATTATTTAAATACAAATACCAGTACTCACTTTTTTTCGAGACTGTGATTCCGATCCAAAGCTTATAAAGGACAAGCGAATTATTGAAATGTACCATGTTGGTCAAAAAATGAAATTTTCAAATTATTCATTTTACATTATCTTTTTTCAAACTATTATAGCAAGAATGTCTAGCTATTTATCTAAATCTTTAATGTTGACAATAATTTACCTTTAATTTCTGTTCTGGGATATCTAAATCTTGTGATAGCTTTTCCATGACTTCTGGTTCAGGGTAGGGGGTTTCGAGGAACACTTTCTCCAGTCCACGAACTTGTTCCGGTGTGTAATTAGTTCTGGCCTTCTTCTTGTATAACGGTTCTGGGCTTGGTGGGGTAACTGATTTCTTTACCACTTGTTTGGTAACGGAGACTGGTTCCGGAACAGGAACTGGTTCAGAGCCTAATGAGCTGTTACCGGAATCATTTATCCGGGATAAATCTGAATCACTGGTCGGACCATCCACTGAAATATCTGCAAGATAAAAAAAAATCAACATTCAAAATATGCAAATAAGTCATGTAGGATGAATTCAATCATAACTTATGCTACAGGGGAATGATGGTCATATTCCATCGCCATCGGGAGCATTTCGAACGGTGTCTAAGGATGTTAAAACTTACCAGTATCAACCGTTGTATCTACGACTCTACTGGCGCAAGCCTCAGATGGACTACTTGAACATTCTGACGATAGCGAATTCCTTCGATCCCCACTTCGAGGTAGCTGTTCATGAACTGGTGTTGTGGTGAGGTGAGCGTAAGAATGGGCTTGTGGAATAGCTGACGATAAGGAAGGATACATCTTTGGAAAGTCTTTAACTGCTACACTGGTGGGCACTGGAGGTGATAATGATGCTGGTGATGCTTTCGGAGATGGTGGTTTACAGTCGTTGACTGCTGGTTGGGATGCTGCAGGCATCATCTGTGGTGGAAACATCGATGAATATGGGTAGACCATGTTGTGTGGATATTGGAAGTAAGGTGAAGAATACATGTAGATTGGATGCATCATGTTCATTTGTTGCTGCATTATGGATGAAGAACTTGGTGGTGTCGGCATCGTGGTACCAGGATAAGCAGGGATCTCAGCAGGGGAACCAGTCTTAGCAGAACTTAGCCAGGGTTGACTAAATCCCCCAGATGGAGTAGTCGAAGTGCTAGGAGGGCTTCCTGTCGAGCTTGATCCGGGACTCGTATTAGGCTGTGGATACATCTTTGGAATCGGTAGAGAATGTCTTACTTGCGGATATTCCTAAAATATAGAAGAAAATCTTGATTATTATATCTTAGTTCAACTAATTTATCATCAACAAGTAATTGGGTAGATTCATTAAACAGGTGCTCGGTGAAACATTGTAAGTTGAAAGATCCTTAAAGATTTTGTTACTAATTTGAACATTTAGAAAGGCGACTCCTTATTTTTAAGATTAAAATATATATATTTACCGTTTCTGAGGCCATTACTATGTCTTATTGAAGCTACTGTTGTTTCTTGTTCTTGTAGATGTGTCAACTGAGAATGGCAGATGAAACTGATTTGATTTTTCTGTTTGAGTTACATCTATATATACCCAAACATCACTGGTGACAGTTTTGAGTAAATCTTTTAATGAACAATCAAAGAGAAACATTACTCACGAATCCAATCAACCCTGATTGAATTAAAGAAAGGAGATGTGTGAAACATCCTTGTTCTACGGGGCTGTTTGGACTAGATAGGTATTCAAGGTATTCAAGGTGATTAGCAACAAGCCACCGGTTGATTTAATTGATAGATCTAAGGCAATACACCTATTGTTTCCTAATTAAGTTCTTAACACTCATGTTGATTGGATTAGCGAGCTGGTTTCACTCATTACTGATAATCCAGTTTATCAATCAAGAAAACCATGTTTACAAATGAAGATGGCGTTGAAGTGTAAATGTTTGTCTTTTAAAACAATTATTGATTATTTTACTATCAGGGTTTTAATCACTCATTGATGACGCCATATTTTTGGTACAGCACGTGATATCGAATAAATAAACGGTCTTAAAATGTTATTAAGAAAAGTTTATTTAGTGTGCCGAGTTGATTTGTAACTACATATGCGAAGAAAAAATGTTTTTTTCTTTTTAAACAATTTTGTTATCAGAATTTTAAACACTAATGGATGACGCCATATTTTGGGTACAGCACGTGATATCGAATAATACAGTTTATTATTAGAGCGATTTCATTTATAAATAATTTTGCAAGAAAACAACTTTTTTCTTTGAAAACAATTACTGACTATTTTGCTATCAGGATGCTATTCACTCATTGATGACGCCTTATTTTAGATTTTTTGGGACAGCACATAATTTGGAATAATAAAGAGTCTTATAGTTTTAGAAAAGTTTATTTATTTGAACGGTTTGAAATTTAAATAAACCTGCAAAACAACCCAAATAAACAATTTTTGTTTTTTAAAAATTTGCTATCGCGATTTGCGTTTTGAATATATTTCCCAAAAAACTATTTTTTTTTTTTTTTTACTTTAAACAATTACTGATTGTTTTTCTTTCAGAATTTTTGGGAATGTCACGTGACATCGAATAATAAACGGTCTTATACTGTTTTTAAGAAAACTTTTATTGTTAAAATGATTTGATTTATAAATAAATCTTCACCCACTACCCTCCAAAAAACATACAAAAGCAATGTTTGTCTGTATCAGAATTTAAACACCTAAAGATGATGCCATGGGACATCACGTGATTTCGAATAAAAGGTCTTATAATATTATGAAGAAATGTTTATTTATTTTACCGATTTGATTTTTAAATCTGCAAACAAAAAAAAAGCCGAAATTTTTGTGATTATTTAGATATTATGGTTTCGATTGGTGACGCCATATTGTTTTCAGCACGTGATATTGAATAATAAAAGGTTTTACAACAAAACAATTAAACATTTGATTAAATGTAAATAATTCTGAAGTACACGATTGACAGCAAAACAACAATTAAAGGAGCATTATGGGAGATTAGATAAAGAGCTGGCAACCTTACAATAATAGTTAAAAACTAGATAATGTAAAGAGAATATGTTGAAAATTCCAGTCAAATTACTAAAGTCGGTACAATAAAAAACAAAATCTCGATTATCAATTTTGACGTCAAATCATCCATCACAAAATGTATTAAAATCCAGTAAATATCGCATGCTAACGATGAAATCGAGAGTTGATTATGGTCTGGATGAGTTAATTAAAGTCTAATTAATAACTTAGATAACATTTCAGGCCTAAAGAAAGGCCTGTAATAGACATATTTAGCTCTTGCATAATGTATGTTTTATAATTGGTAGTAGAAGATTTTATTATCTGCCACGTTCATCACTGTGCTATTCTCATGTCTTTGATTTACGACCCTGCGTGAATCACTTCAAGTTTCCAGTAAGTG